TGTAGGTGCTCCTAGTGCCCGCGCAGATCGAAGTTGTTTCCGATAATCGATAACTTACTCTGTTTCTAAGCAATCGATAAAAATCGATATCGATATCCTGTTTTTTTGGGCAATTTTGGTAAATAATAAGAGCTAGTCACCAAACTTGACATATAGCTTCTAAAATAGAATATATATATGCATTTGATGTTGGAAGAAGAGGGTTCAGGGTATTCCCTAGTCGGAAGCTCCCGAATTCATGTTGAAGGAAGAGGGTTCACGGTATCCCATAGTCGGAAGCTCCCGACTAGAACCTCTTACTTTTTTTATATATATATTTATTTGTTATACTATATTTCTGGGTTTGAAATATTTGAATTTTTCTTGTTTAATATATTTGAATAGACATTAAATTCCTTAGCACGCTCAATGAATTATTAGGTTTTGTGTAAAACAAATTGCTAAACATATTTTGAAATATCATTGACTTAATTAAGGAAATGCGCCCCGATGCGCAGATGCATGCAAATTATATAGATTTACGGCTGATTTGGCTGGGACCATGACTTGCAATTTTGTGCCCCACTGCAATTGCATTATTGAATATCATGCACTTTATTTAATTATAAAAGTTGCCTTCTTTTGTATTTTTTATTTTGCATGCAGTATTTGGCCTCAAATATTTATGCATTATTTTGAACAAATGGAAAACTGTGTCTATCTCTCTCTTTCCCTCTCTCTTTCTCTCTCTCTCTCTCTCTCTGGTCTCTTAATTTGCCATTTAAGCGGCAGTTATATTTGCAGCTCAATGCGATGAACATTAGTTAGCTGAAATTGGATACAACATTTGGCCGTTGTTATTATTTCTAATTGCCTTTTGGCCGACTCGACGGGCCAATTTGTTGGCGAAGGGGCGGGGCGGGGCGGGGCGGGGTCTAATATCGAGCATTAGCCGGCTCGGATTATTAAATTTAAATGCATATAAATTCGCGCATTAGCATCAAATTGAATTGGTTACTTCAAGTGCCTCAGGCTAATGTTGATTTTGTTATTGTTTCTCGATTTACCTTGCACCTTGCGCCTGCTGACCAGGATATTTATGTTATTTGAAATGTATTCAAATAAGTGAATAACAGAAGTCATTTACCTTTCTTTTGTAGAACAAATAATTTGCTTTTTTTGTTAAAACTAATATTTTTCTAGCGCACCTTATTAAATACCTTTAAGATTCGCACCTAAATTTGGGAGGATAAGTTGTATTTAAACATATAACTAATACTAATGACTAATATTAATATATATTAGCAGTTCTTAGTGGGTACAACAACCCTCGTGAGCCTCAATATTTATATAGGTATAATATTATAATCATTTATTAATATATATATATATATTTATATATATGTTGATATATGCATATTTACATATACCTATACATTGCTTTTTATTTATTTATATATACATTTATAATCAATTATTTCCATGACTTTGGGTAGCCACTTTTTAATTTAATCTGAATAAAAATTGATGCTCCCTAGGGTTGTTGTACATGCTAAGCCCTGTTGAGCTACTTTGGTAAATCAAAGCCAATAATTAAGCAATGCATTTTAGTGAAGACATGCCCCAAGTATAAAAGCAATATAATTAGAAATATTGAAGCTCCCACGGTTTGTTGCACATGCTAAGCCTTCTTAAGCAATAATATAATAAAGCAGTGCATTTTAGTGAAGACATGCCCCCAGTATAACAGCAAGTAGGCGGTTGACGAATAAACGAACTGCTTGGTTTGTCAGCCAAGCAGTTCGTTGCGAGCTAAGCAGTTCGGGATTGTTTATAAAATGAAATATTATGCAGCACTGTTTTAGTGAAAGTTAAAATTCAAATGGCTTTAAAAGCAGCTCTCGCAGTGAGATAAACCGAGATAAAATATATTAAGATTGATTTACTATTTTTAAGGGTTTTTAGCTTAACAAATCCAATAGATGAAGAACAATAACCTAATTTGATGCATGTTAACTGAAAAAAAGCTACAAATCGCTTCACACCTTCGAATTTCGACTTCAAAAATAGAAATATTATTGTATTGACACCCACGGCAGCTGGAAATGAGCCAACTAATCAGCGTAGATCATTCAAAAAGCGTTTACGCAAAATTTCTCACGCCGCGCACAGCTGCGGACTTGGACTTGTTAGCATCCCGCAGCGCTGCTGCCGCAAAACATGGCCAAGACGTAGCAGAAGAAGAAGAAGGAGAGGGGAGACAATGAGTGGAGCACACGTTGTGCGAAACAATCAATCATTCAATTATTAATTATTAACAAACATCTGAGGTAGGAAAAATAGCCGAAAGAGCATAGAATATTCAGGCACTGTCCGAGCTACCAGAAAAGTTGCTAACATGAAATTAAATACATTTAATCAATAGAATATTAATTTTAATTAACAGCCAGCTTTTACAAATATTTCTGCTTTTCTTTTCTTTTTTGTTTTGCATGCACGCATTTAAATAAATCAATTTTAATTTGATGTCTAAAGGAAATCGCAGCAAAAAATTGTTGTTTTTTTTTTAATGCATTTGTAAATGATAAATGAATAAAAACATAAACAAAATACGAGATAAAACATAATTAAACATAATTAATTAATGATGCATTTAATCAACACGCAATTTGTTGAACAACAAACTGTTGAAATAATTCAACTAATTATTTTTGTTGCTCTTCCTCTTTCTTTTGCATTTTGTTAATACTTGTTAACTGAAATAATCAATAAGGCTCATTATTGCAGGCTGTTGCTGCTGCTGCTGCTGCTGCCTTGTGGCATCCACGTTGACCTTTCGAATTGACCGCAGTTGCTATTCCATTTGTTTGAAGCTGCCTTTGGAAGTATTTTAAGTGGATTCGCAACAGGCAAAACAACAAAAACTCGTTAATGACTTTGCTGGGGCAACAGTCGAAAGTTAATTGTCGTTAAAAGATAGCAAAAGCGAGTTTCAGTTAGCAAAAAACCTACAGTGAAAACTCTCCTAACGAACACTCCTATTAGGCAAACAGAACGCCGCCTGGGCAAGCATTTGCTCTCGAAACCCAATTTGAATCGGGCCATACTCAGCGCACCTCTCTTAGCCGGACACGCCACCTGAGCGGACGTTAAGTGTCCGACGTGCCGTCCCAGAGGGTATTCACTGTAGACCTGTATACGGACAGAGATACATTCAAATACAACAGGTATTTGAAAATAGGATTTTTTAGTTTTCTTTAATCAAAAATTATTTGAAAATTAATACAAAGGAAAGAAAGGAATTGCAGATAGAAACAATGTATCTGACATTTGCTTTAATTGAGCAATTTTCATTAAAATTACCATTGCACAATTTTATTCAAGGAAAATTAAATAAATTGCAGAGCTCATGAAGTGGAAAATGTTATGTTTGAGTGGATTTATGTTTTTTTTTTCAAAATGTTTGCTTTATTTATGGAAAATATTTGCAAAACAACATTTTGTAAAGAACCTTTTTATTTGCAAAAGAAAGTGAATAAATAGAATAAGGGAAATGTTTTTTAAGAAAATCCTTTAAAATAGCAACTGGACAATTTGCATAAACTTTATTTGTTTTTTATCAAAAGAAATCTGTTATATTTTATTTGAATAGATATATTTCTTGAATATTTTTGAAAGACTCGCTTCATTCAGCAACTTTTTTTTTTTAATATATATATTTAATTCATTTTCATAGATCAATTGAAAATGTTTGCTCTATTTTTCAAAAACTCTTTTAAATACCAACTCACTCAAAATATATATAACATATACAATAGACCCCTTAGAACTCTCCCGGCTGGAGCACTCGCTATAAGGCAAAACGAAAGTTTACTAAAAATTGGAAACACTCTTTAAAATGATTTGCAAGCAGCCCAGTTAACAAATGTTGGCTTGCTGCCCCGAGTTATATTCTATGCTCATTATCAGTTTTTTTTTCTATTTTTTTGTGGTTTCGTTGCAAGTGAAACTTTCTGCAAACTGACACTTTTATCGCGCTTGTGGTCAGGCGTGCAGGCAAATTTGTTCAAAACTTTTGTTTTTTATTTATATTTATTTTTTCTCTCCCTTTTTTGAAGCTAAGCTGCGTTTTTTAATGACTGACAAACGGACCAACTGAGCAGCTGAAAGGCCAACGTAACGCATCCCCGCGAGAAGTCCAGGCCGAGTCGCAGTCTTTGGAGGTGCCGCACTGCGGGCAACTGTCCAAAACAAACCCAAACGCACGTCTTTCTAGCTAATTTCTGCGCTGCTCAAGTTGAGTGAAAGAGGGTGGAGAGAGGGGGGGGGGGGGGGGGGGGGGGGGAGACAGACTGACAGACAGACAGACAGACAGTTGGTTTTGGCTGCTGCCAGAAGTTTATTACCAAGTGCCCGGCAAGGGGGCAGGCCTCCGAAAGCGAGCGTCAATTCTAAACGGCACTCATTCACGTCAATAGACAGGTGAGAGGGCGGCGGCAGGGGCAGGGGCAGGGGCAGGGGCAGGTGCAGGGGTCGAGAGGCGCGCACCTGAGCCGAGACTGTGGAGCAGTGGCAGCTTTTTCGAGAGAAGTCTCTCATGTAGAGCTGCGGTTCGTTTGGATTCTTTAGGAGTCTGAGCTAACTGTGTGTGTGTGTATCTGTGCTGTGTATCTGTGTGTGTGTGTGTGTGCGTGCGTGTGTCTGTGCGTTAATTCATCATTCGCTTAAATGGGTGTTACCTGTTAAGTGCGTTTATCACGTGCTGTTTCGGCATTTCGTTTCGTTTTCTTCTTTTCTTTTCTTTTTTTTTTATGAGCTTTTCTCTGTCACTTTTTCTTCTTCTTATTTTTCAAGTGGGCATGCCCACTTTTTAGGCGTCAGAGTCAATAACTTTTGATGAATGCCATCAGAAACGTGACGTATTTTAATTAAAATTTCAGTTTTTTTTGGGCCACAAAAATGAACCATAATTATATGAAATTGCAGATCTAAAAACATAAATGAGATCGACTTACCCAATTGGAAATTTCAAAAACAAAAGACTTGTGCTTCCTTATGCTTCTCATATGTATATACACAGTGCATGCAAAAAGTATGCGCACCAAGGCATAATCTTGTCACGGAGCGCCATAAATTAACGCCGCAATTGATCTTGTGCTGAAAAGATTACAAAAATACGTGAATGAGATATATCATAGAACTATATACTCAGAGAATTTGATAACAGATGTTCCCAGAAATGTTTCACAATTGAAACAGAACTAAGTGAAGAGCTGGGTTGCACATAAAATGAAATGCTGACTCCTAAATTAGAAATATATTCAAACAATATATCAGTTCAGATAAACTATTCAACTAAGAAGTGTATATGCGTCTCTCTCTTTATAGCCTGGCAGAGGGTTTTATAATTTTGTCTCAAAATGTGTAACGCCTGGAGGGAGACGTCTCAGACGGACGAATGGATGGACAGATGGGCTGGGGTATATCAGCTCGGATGTTGATGCTGATCTAGAATATATATAGATGTCTTCACTTCACGTCACACACTTCATGACCAAGCTATAATGCTCTATGCCCAGTTTTAAATAATAATTTTATTTTGTTTAAATTCTTTAATAAATCCATTTCGCAGTCAAAAAGTTGGCCAAGTGTAAAATAGTTATACTCGCATAACGAGTTTAATTTATAGGCTCTGGTATGAATTAACAATTACCGGTTTCTAAAATAGAAATAATTTAAAAATAAATTCATTGAATTATATATTTAACAATTTTATTGCGGAGCACGGCCGCGCCTATCTAAATAATTAGACATATTTATGTGTTCATAAATTTGGAAGATATGATTGCGAGTCGAGTTTTGTGTTTTTTTGTGTTTTTCTCATTAGGCGTAACAACAACAAAGCAACAAAGCTGAAACCGAATCAAAACTTCGGCAGCTTTTAATTAAAACCCGATAAAGGCTGAGAAATTCGTTGCGGTTTGTCTAAACGGCCCCAGAAAAGGTAATCAAAGCGAAGAAAATTCCACCAAATTGAAAAAATATAAAAAACAAAAAAAAAAAAATTCAAATAGTCAAATAGAAGAAGAAAGAAGTAGAAAAAAAAACGAGAGCTGTATGCATATATAAAACCTTGATGACGATTTCTTATCCCCATTTTTGGTGCGCACTTATTTATGTAAATCTCGAAAGCGTCCACAACGAACGCTGACAAACAACCAAAATGCATTTGTGGCTCCAAGTGCGCTCCAAGCCCGCCCCAATCCCAAATCAAGCTAAACCAAATCCAATCGACCACTCGACAAGACGCCAGAGCCAGAGCCAGAGCCAGAGCCGGTGCCAGAGCCGGAGCCAAAGCCAAAGCCTATTGAATAACTTTGATTTGATTTCGTTGCCTTCCTTTTGTATACCCTTCTAGAGGGTAATTTAATTTTGTCATGAAATGTGTGACACATAGCAGGAGACATCTCCGAACCCATTACCAGGCCGTATGGGACCCCGTATGGGATCTTGCATGGAAAACCTTTTCTGCATCAAGGCATCTTAACTAAAGCCAGCCTGAGGCAAATCTTCTCAAGATCACACTACTATACTATATAGCTCTATAGGAAGAATGGATCGAAAATGAAATGAAATCGATTTTCCAAGAGTTCTTCATCAAACTTCAGCATTTACCAGCTCTACTATTCTCACATATATTTAAAAGGGTATTAAATCTTCGGCGTGCCGCATCCAAACTACATCGTTTTTATTTTGTTCGATTATTTTTTTGTATTTTCTGCTTTAATCACTTAGTTACTTGATTTTCCACTTTATGACGGATTATGTGCAAATGTTTATCGACCATTTCAAGAAGCAGAGCGCAGAGAAGTGAACAACAACAACAACAAAAATAAGTCTATTGAACAATTGTAAAATTTATGCGGATTGGTAACTATTTCTTCGCACTGACGAGCCGCTCAGACTCCGACTCAGATTCGGCCATTAATCATTCGCGTTTTCGGATTCGCCCATTGTTGCAAACCGCGCTAAGCCAGTCCACAATTTATGACTTTATTATGTGAGATTACCAACTGATTGAACACCAGAAAAACGTCTTGTCTTGGTGCTATAAAAACTGACGATCCTAAAAACTAAAAATTTAGTGCGTTTGAGAGGGAATACTTGTGTGGATTTTGCTGGGGTCTTCAATATAATCTGCATGTCAATTTAACATGCACTTCAAAGTGATTCAAGAAAAGGGCAAATGTCAAACTTCTTTCTTTGTTTGCAACTGAATCAAGTATATGGTGTACCATTTTGCTGTGGGTGTAAAATAACGTGCATGCCCAATTAACATGCATGTTAAAGTGCCTTGGGTAATAAATTCAATTCAATTCAGGTTTTCAAAATAATGTACATGTTAACTTAATAGTCATGCTAAAGTGCTTTAGAAAAACGACAAACTAAATCACATCCACATCACATATTTTTTAGTCGAAATTCATGTCCAAATCTTACCCCAAGATTCGTATACAGACATAGGTAGAAATTTCCCATCCCCATAACTCGGTCAAAACTCAACCGATTTTTACGAGGTTGGCATTTTTATCCATGGTTTTCCCTCTAGATAAATCTAGCATTTAAATCTGAACACATATTTTTTAGTCGAAATTCATGTCCAAATCTTACCCCAAGATTCGTATACAGACATAGGCAGAAATTTCCCATCCCCATAACTCGGTCAAAACTCAACCGATTTTTACGAGGTTGGCATTTTTATCCATGGTTTTCCCTCTATATTAATCTGGCATTTAAATCTGGACACATATTTTTTAGTCGAAATTCATGTCCAAATCTTACCCCAAGATTCGTATACAGACATAGGTAGAAATTTCCCATCCCCATACCTCGGTCAAAACTCAACCGATTTTTACGAGGTTGGCATTTTTATCCATGGTTTTCCCTCTAGATTAATCTGGCATTTAAATCTGAACACATATTTTTTAGTCGAAATTCATGTCCAAATCTTACCCCAAGATTCGTATACAGACATAGGTAGAAATTTCCCATCCCCATAACTCGGTCAAAACTCAACCGATTTTTACGAGGTTGGCATTTTTATCCATGGTTTTCCCTCTATATTAATCTGGCATTTAAATATGAACACATATTTTTTAGTCGAAATTCATGTCCAAATCTTACCCCAAGATTCTTATACAGACATAGGTAGAAATTTCCCATCCCCATAACTCGGCCAAAACTCAACCGATTATTACGAGGTTGGCATTTTTATCCATGGTTTTCCCTCTATATTAATCTGGCATTTAAATCTGAACACATATTTTTTAGTCGAAATTCATGTCCAAATCTTACCCCAAGATTCGTACACAGACATAGGTAGAAATTTCCCATCCCCATAACTCGGTCAAAACTCAACCGATTTTTACGAGGTTGGCATTTTTATCCATGGTTTTCCCTCCAGATTAATCTTGCATTTAAATCTGAACACATATTTTTTAGTCGAAATTCATGTCCAAATCTTACCCCAAGATTCGTACACAGACATAGGTAGAAATTTCCCATCCCCATAACTCGGTCAAAACTCAACCGATTTTTACGAGGTTGGCATTTTTATCCATGGTTTTCCCTCTAGATTAATCTGGCATTTAAATCTGAACACATATTTTTTAGTCGAAATTCATGTCCAAATCTTACCCCAAGATTCGTACACAGACATAGGTAGAAATTTCCCATCCCCATAACTCGGTCAAAACTCAACCGATTTTTACGAGGTTGGCATTTTTATCCATGGTTTTCCCTCTATAATAATCTGACATTTAAATCTGAACACATATTTTTTAGTCGAAATTCATGTCCAAATCTTACCCCAAGATTCGTATACAGACATAGGCAGAAATTTCCCATCCCCATAACTCGGTCAAAACTCAACCGATTTTTACGAGGTTGGCATTTTTATCCATGGTTTTCCCTCTAGATTAATTTGGCATTTAAATCTGAACACATATTTTTTAGTCGAAATTCATGTCCAAATCTTACCGCAAGATTCGTATACAGACATAGGTAGAAATTTCCCATCCCCATAACTCGGTCAAAACTCAACCGGTTTTTACGAGGTTGGCATTTTTATCCATGGTTTTCCCTCTAGATTAATCTGGCATTTAAATCTGAACACATATTTTTTAGTCGAAATTCATGTCCAAATCTTACCCCAAGATTCGTACACAGACATAGGTAGAAATTTCCCATCCCCATAACTCGGTCAAAACTCAACCGATTTTTACGAGGTTGGCATTTTTATCCATGGCTTTCCCTCCAGATTAATCTTGCATTTAAATCTGAACACATATTTTTTAGTCGAAATTCATGTCCAAATCTTACCCCAAGATTCGTAAACAGACATAGGTAGAAATTTCCCATCCCCATAACTCGGTCAAAACTCAACCGATTTTTACGAGGTTGGCATTTTTATCCATGGTTTTCCCTCCAGATTAATCTTGCATTTAAATCAGAACACATATTTTTTAGTCGAAATTCATGTCCAAATCTTACCCCAAGATTCGTATACAGACATAGGCAGAAATTTCCCATCCCCATAACTCGGTCAAAACTCAACCGATTTTTACGAGGTTGGCATTTTTATCCATGGTTTTCCCTCTATATTATCTGGCATTTAAATCTGAACACATATTTTTTAGTCGAAATTCATGTCCAAATCTTACCCCAAGATTCGTATACAGACATGGGTAGAAATTTCCCATCCCCATAACTCGGTCAAAACTCAACCGACTTTTACGAGGTTGTGATTTTTATCCATGGTTTTCCCTCTAGATTAATCTGGCATTTAAATCTGGACACATATTTTTTAGTCGAAATTCATGTCCAAATCTTACCCCAAGATTCGTATACAGACATAGGTAGAAATTTCCCATCCCCATAACTCGGTCAAAACTCAACCGATTTTTACGAGGTTGGCATTTTTATCCATGGTTTTCCCTCTAGATAAATCTAGCATTTAAATCTGAACACATATTTTTTAGTCGAAATTCATGTCCAAATCTTACCCCAAGATTCGTATACAGACATAGGCAGAAATTCCCCATCCCCATAACTCGGTCAAAACTCAACCGATTTTTACGAGGTTGGCATTTTTATCC